TTAATTATAATTTTTATTTTTATTTTTAAAAATATAAATTTATATTTAATTATAAAAATATTGTTTATACTTTTAAACAAAAATAAATTAATTATATATAAATATTATTAAGTTTTATATTTTCTATATGCAAATGCTCTCCCAAAAGCTCTATATGAGAGCATTGAGCAAAGAGCATTTAGAGAGCATTTGCATTTGGTAAATGCTTTTCTAAATGCTTCTTTGCCAAATGTTGATTGGATAATAGAGAGCATAATGCTTATGCTAATGCTCTACCAATCAACCCCTTAGCTGGGAATATTATGAAGGCCTCTCAATTACTAATTATTAGTTAATGGACCTATCAAAATATCTGAGCCCAATTAACGTCCTTTTCAGTTTTTCTGTACCTCTCGGCTGGCACCGTGTGTATGTTGTAAATGGGGAGCATGTTTATGATCGTGCATCAGACTAAAATGAATCCCAAACCTTATTTTCGACTATTCACCATTAGTGATAACATTAAATATTCTTATAAAATTCATCAATACTCGTTAACATTTTCATATAAAACCCCATTAGATGAAATCATTTTTCTCATCCCACTTCAAACACAAAAGACGAGGTAGCATAAGGCAAAGGCAGGCCACGTTCTCTACAATGGCTATAACACGCGCCTCCTTGGCCATATGCCTCCTCCTCTCTTTGGTTACCATAGCCACCGCTGATTACTACTCCCCCTCAACTCCTCCGGTTTACACCCCACCAACCCACAAGCCTACACTCCCACCTCCGGTTTACACTACACCAGCTCACAAACCCACCATTCCACCACCGGTTTACACACCACCCACATACAAGCCAACCCTCCCACCACCGGTTTACACACCACCCACATACAAACCCACTCACCCACCTCCAGTTTACAAGCCTACTCTCTCTCCCCCGGTCTACACTAAACCCACTATCCCTCCTCCAGTCTACACTCCACCAGTATACAAGCCAACTCTTTCCCCTCCAGTCTACACCAAACCAACCATTCCACCTCCGGTTTACAAGCCTACCCTCTCTCCCCCGGTCTACACTAAACCCACTATCCCTCCTCCAGTCTACACTCCACCGGTTTACAAGCCAACTCTTTCCCCTCCGGTCTACACCAAACCAACTCTCCCACCTCCGGTTTACACTCCACCAACATACAAACCAACCCTCCCACCTCCAGTTTACATTCCACCGGTTTACAAGCCAACTCTCTCTCCCCCGGTCTACAAAAAGTCTCCGAGCTATTCTCCTCCAACTCCTTACGTCCCAAAACCAACCTACTCTCCACCCACCAAGCCATACGTCCCAGAGATTCTTAAAGCCGTTGATGGCATCATCCTCTGCAAAAACGGTTACCAAACCTACCCAATTCAAGGTATAAATACATACTTAAGCTTCCCTATTAAATATCTATGAAAACAACAAAATTACTAATCAGAAAACTCTTTTAAATTAAATTTATGTAGGAGCAAAGGCCAAGATTGTGTGCTCCGAGCCAGGATCATACGGGCATAGCAAGAAGGATGTTGTGATCTACAGCGATCCAACTGACTCCAAGGGATACTTCCATGTGTCATTGGCCAACATCAAGGACCTACTTCATTGTCGTGTCAAGCTCTACACATCTCCTGTCGCCACTTGCAATAACCCGACCAATGTCAACAAGGGTCTCACCGGAGTTCCATTGTCTCTGTACGGATACCGTTACCACGCCGACAAGAACTTGAAGATCTTTAGCGTCGGACCTTTCTACTTCACCGGTCACAAGGCTGCTCCAACCACTCCCAAATACTGATCATGATCACATCATTATCGAAACTATCTTGCATGGATTTTATATTATATATGAGGTCACATTAACCAATTTATTGTTTGATTTTCCCTTTAAAATGTTCTCGTGTTTCGTTGTACTGATTTTCTTTGATTTGTTCCATTACAATGCAATCTATCTTTTGGTTATGTTTACTACAATTTTATCTAATAAAATTGTAAAAGTACTGTATTTATTTGATTACTGCGACTGCTTGTATACAAGCCATTGAAAATATAAAAAAATAATAAGAAATCTTCTTTATGATAAGAGTTACTTTGAGATTGTTTATAATTATGTGGCTATTGTGTCGACTCCTGTGTAGTGAGTGCATAAACAACGATTAATCTCTTTATAGACCCAATAGACAATAGTCTATAGATTGATTGCACGATAAAGTTAATCACGTATATAGATTGCAGTTCCGAAAATCACACGACCGCCATGAATTAGCACTATATTAATCATGCAACCAAGTCTTGCTCTTGTATATAACAATTTCTATTCCTTGGATATGACGTCATAGATTCGGTATATTCTTTATATCGCAGACAACTTCAGTGCTGGCACGACTAATTAGTAGGTCAACGTTTAATTACCATCGTGCACCAGGGTCTTGTCTTGCTGCACCATTATCCCAAAGGTTTAATGTAACCGACGTTTTGACGATGTGTGTCTAACGAGGTATCGTCGGCTTCATATAACATCAACGGTACTCTCAGATACTACTAATAACGGGAAATTACTATCGACATATACAACATTTTTTTTTCCAACAGCTGTTATTTTTTTTATAATATCAGATCTTTAGAATCCAGTCCTGCAATTTGGTTATTGACAATATCGATTTAGGTCCGCTAATGTGAATGTTTTTTTCATTCAGACAATAGAGTGGATTATAGAAAGAAAAGAAGAGAGTCGAAGTCTTGGTCGACATGTTTTATCAATATTCCTTATAAGTTATAATATTCCACAAATCAATTTGAAAACTGGAGACATGTGCGCTAGGAATAGCTTTTAAAACTGAAAGGTGCATGCATCGTCATTATAATGTGTTGATTTTAAAAAACTATGAAATAGATCAAATAAACTAATTTCTTTTTTAGCAAAAAAGATACAATTTCTTTCAAGTGATATCTAGTTCTTGACCCATGCACAACGCACGCGAGGGATAGTCGGATGGTCCCCCACTCAGAGTCTTTGAGTCCATGTCAGTTTGTATATGTGTCACTTTGTCAAAACTCCATCCTACCTAATACCACAATCGTTGTATTAAAATTCAATTTAATTTTGCAGTAGCTTTGTTACTAGCGTTCATAAGCGTGAACATTTTGATTCAGGCTCAGCAATGACTTGAATGGTGTACGATGTAAATGCATTAGCACACAAATTACATGATAGTTTGTACAATGGAAACAACATATGAACAAAAACGGTAAAATAAATAATTAAATACAAGGTTTACAAATCAATACAAGCAATTAAGGCTAATATTTGGTTAATAATGAACAATTTTTTTTAAAAAAATTTACAAATATAAGATAAATCTCGTTTAACCAACCACCTTAACAGATTACGAAGGAACAAAGAGAATCGTTTTGGCGGGAGAGCTTCGCTTAGCAATTGCCTTGCTTCTACTTAAACGACACCGTCTGGTATATACATTGACCGAGTAGCCCCGTTACACGTGGACAAGATTGTCGCGTGGATAGGCAAAACCGCCACGTGTCTTTACGTAGGCCACTAATTCAAATTTGCCCGTTTCCCCTCTTTCCGGGTCGGTTATCCGATCGTTAAGAATCCGGATTACGACTCGATCTCTTATCCACCCGGTTTCATATATCTGTAATCAAATACTCCACATTAAAACCCGGTTATTAGATCCGTCGTCTCCGGGTAAACCCGAATTAGAAGCGTCTAGGTATCTCAACAAGTATACCGACTAAATCAATCGGTTCCCTCTCGCAAGCTTCCATCGGGAACCTCAACGGCGAACCAGACGACGAAGACGGCGTCGAGGAATCGGATTCGTCCGATGAAGACGAGCTTCCGGCTTCGGTATCCTCAATTGGCTTAACCGATGCAACCGGTTCTGAATTCCTCAAACCGGATTCGGTTATTAACTGCTCAGGTTGAACCGGAGCTCTACAAAGCGGACAGCTAGATCTCGACCGAAACCACGTGTCTATACATTCAACGTGGAACACGTGGCCGCATTTGGGAAGGACACGTCCTTCGTCTTCTTCTTCAAACTCCGACAAGCAAACGGAGCACTCCTCAGGCGGAGAATTGTGCGTTTTAAAGGAGTAGACGAAGATAGGGATCTTCTCGAGCACCGTCGGATCGAGAGGAGACAAGGAGGAGGAGGATTGGGCGGCGGATAGAGATCGGAGATGAGCAGTGATACGGCGGCGAATACGGCGGTTTTGACGTTGGAATAGCCATCTGGCGTAGCTGTGGAAACAGAGGATGAGGATAACGGCGACGAAGAGGATGATAACGGAAGCGAGCATGATTTTGCCGTTAAGTGCGTAACGTGAAGAACCAAGAGTCATGCTTCCCCATAGTGTCTTGCTACTACTGTCGTCGACGATGCCCATTGTTCTAGAGGAGAGAGAGGAAAAGAAACAAGAAAATGAACACAAGAAGATTTGAGATGGGTGAAACGAAGAAGAAGAGAGTGGTGAAGCTTCGAATGTGGTTAATTTTGTGAGTTTGAATGTCTTTATTTATAGACAAGCTAGTGTGAATTATTGGCTACTCTTTATTTTATTATACACTAGTATTTTTTTTCCTCTCCTTTGTAGTATATATTTTTAGGGATTTCTTATTGATTTCAGTTTGTAAATAACGTAATATTACAGTTTATTTGTCTTCCTAATTGGAAAATATTATTAAAAAGTTCGATAAGTGCTTTTGCGACTTTTTTGTTGGTTTTTATGCAGTTGAACATTAAATATTTTGTCTAGTAGCTCTTTGAGCTTTCAAACCACTTGTTAGATGTGAGTTCTACCAAATATCGTGGAGACATACTTTGGCAAGTATTTGACCGTAATTTACTTTATGATTTTCTCTGCTAATACTTTTTGAAATCATGAATATTTTGTTTTCCCACGGAGAAGCTTAGTTTGGTTGACATATACATCATAGATCAAATGTTTAGAAACTTACTAACAAATTTCTTTTGTAGCACATCCTTCTTATTAAGTTGATAGTGTTATTTTCATAAACATGCTGCACATTTATCTAACTTCATTTAAAACAGTAGAAACGGAGTTAAAAGCTTCGAGTTTGTGGAATATATTATTTACATTAAGAAATATTATATGCTGAAAATCTTTAAAAGAATAAATAGGAAAAAGATACTGCTTCCGTTCCTTAAAAATACATATTCTAGAAAAAAAATTTGTTTCTAACAGATACATTTTTTATATTTTTAATGTATGTTTTATTAAATAATTGTAAACTTCAAAAAACTTAATTGCACTAATTGATTTTTGATTGGTTTAAAATTATGGAAAGAAGATAAATACAAAAAACTATGCAAATTAATTATGTTTTATTAAAAAGTGTGAAAAAATTAGAATATAAATCTTTTAGGAACAAAGGAGTATAACACACTAATAGGGGAAATAAAATGCATGGTCCAATTCAATTGAAATGAAACTGAAAATTCCATAACTAAATATACCGAAACAAACCATAAAACCTACGAAGGCATTGCTTTTGGATTTTCCATGAGTGATTGGACTCGAGGCTTGGTGGTCTATTAAGCTTCTTTTTTTTTGCTTAGATGCCAGGAGAAAGATTGTCCCAATCTGACGGCTCTTATTTATTTCCTTTCTATTTCTTAGTTCAACAATATTTATTTGTTTTTCTTCAAATAATAAAAAAAATCCGTCAAATATAGCTTTTTGTTTGGGGGGAGTCTTTTTCAGAAAATGTCTTTACGACCGTTTTACACATCAGAAACCTACTAACAATTTTGTCGTTAAGAGGATAATGGCCCTTCCTTGCTAACGACCTTTGATGCCTTTACCTTTTTCTTGTTTCTACTTTAAATAGCATTGCATTCTTCTCTCTTTTGCTCGCTGGTATTTCCACTTTCCTCCATTTCAACACTTACGATTTTTATTTACTGTATAGTATATACTAATAAAAAAAATGTCATTCTCAAAGATTGAATTAAATATCTAAGATCTTTCTAAGAACTTCCAATGCCAGTAACGGCTCAAAAATGATCAGAAGATTCCTTAAGCTCATTACAGGATATTCCACTTAAACCTTACTTTACGGTGGTTCATTTTCGTAGACAAACTATAAGTATATAACAAGATCATACATAGAAGCTAGAGATCCAAGACTCCTAAACCGTACATAGAGGCTAGAGATCCATGTAACATGATTCCAACTAAGGACGTAAACACAACATGCAACTGATCAGTGAACAAGAAAAAAAAGAAACTACGATATTTTGGATAGGATAAGATCCGAGTCCGACCATTAGTCAAAACATTCTACAACTTGAGAGAAACACTAAAAGGCTACGGAAAACCATGTGCCGTGCGAGCTAACATTGAAAATATCATACTTTATATGACTGAAGAAAGTTACTCATCTTTTACTTTCTTCTTTTTAGGACATTGCAACTTTCTTATTTCATACATAAACTATATGACATGTCCTTCTAATTATAATAAAGTAGCTCAAAATTAAAATAGCAATATGCAACAGCAATACAGATGATCATTTTGTAAAAAAATGCAATCGACAGATTTATCCACTAAAAAATTATACTGGTGTCAGGTTTCTTATAATTAAACATTTGAAAAGAGTTTTTAGCAACACTAATAGTTGAAATAGTTGGTTGGAAAATGGATAATTCCGAAAAGTAATTATGTATTCATAAGTAATAACAAAAAGACGATCAAGAGTAAGTATTTCACGATGTTTAAAATACAGCTACGCGCACATTAGGTGTTGGAACACTATATAGCGTGTAGGCTGATTAATGGTCTTCTAAAATGCATAGTAGTAATTTTATTTTATTTGATGTAATTGCTAAAAAAAGCTAAAATGTTCAACTTTATGAAGCTCTGATGTTTTTACAATTAGACTAAATCGTCTCAAAGTCGTAAATAAATGATGTAACGGCCAGTGAAGTTATACTTTACGAGAAGTGGTAGCCAGCTCATTAATCCCCCTTTTCAAATTACTTTATTTTTTTTTCAACTTTCAACTTTTAACTTTTTATTTATTTATTTATTCTCGTTATAAACAATTTTTGAAATATGACAACAGTCTTTTAAATAAAAATCAATAATAAACGAATATCAGTTTTGATCCAAAAAGAGAGACAAGGCAATACCAAGAGGGAATATGAACAGCACCTCACAGTCCCAACCCGTACTTTATTTTCTTGTCATATCCGTTTTCGGATTCCTATAGAGGTATCAAACGGCAATGATCAAGTTTAAACCCTTAACCTAAGGAACATGCCGTGGGGGAAAAAGAAAGAGTAACTTTTATATGTGGATCAATCAAATGTACTGATAGAGAAAACCCCAAAAGATAAATTAAAAAGAGTATTTGATCTAATCTAAAGTGGATAATATGCAGAAGTAAAAGTTTTAAAAATAAACTTTTGAAAAGAGAAATGAATCTTGTTAACATCATGCATATTATTCCGTGGGAATATTCGCCTAGCTCAAACCTTTGAGTCGGTACTACCGAGTCGGTACATAATCTCTGTCTAGTGTCGACCACATCAACAAAGAGATTATAAATAAGACTTGCATGAATAAACTTTTGTTATATTATGAGCACTCTTACGTACATCATTTTTAGTCTCATAGTGTTTCGTGTTTCTCTCTTAAAGGCAAAGTAGCTAGTACGCTCATCCTTCATCAACAGTTTTCTCTTGAATGCTATATCTATTTTCTCAATATAAGCAGGATTTCAGTTTCATAATTACACTGTATCGATTTAGATTATTTAGGGTTTTAAAATACATTGGATATGTATTTCGGTGAGCATGGCTGCATGAGGATAGACAAACATTGACCTAGTCACATTCTTGGATGATTTCCTAGAATGGTTTTCAATTTCATGAACAGCGTTGCCAAAAGAAACTTGTGAATATTGGAAATTTTATTAGTTAATCAACATAAACTGACAGATTACGAATCAAATGATGAAAACGTCTTTTCATATTCATATTAGCTGACAGAAAAAAAAAAGAGATTTCATAGATCGGAGAGCCAACTCTGGAACAAAAGCATAAAAAGAGTCACATTGAACATTTTCATACAATTTACATAAATGATAGATGGGTTGGTTTGGTTCTTGATTTAAGTTTTGATTCCGTATCCGAAGGGGAAGAGAGGGTCGTAGTTCTTGTCGCCAACGTTCATGGGAAGCTGAGTCACACTCTTCATCCACGTGCGAGGCAACGTGCCGGTGAAGGGATGGTCACCAAACAAGACATCAGTGATTCCTTGTCCTTCCGTTCCTGGAAGCCAAGCGACCGCTAGAGCGTCGATGGTGTCAAGGTACGGCTCAATGACGAGAGGACGTCCTGTGACTAGGACCACTAGACACTTCATGCCACTACCACACGTGTGTCTGATTGTGTCTGGACCTGGTGCGGCTATGCTTAGCGTGGTGCTGTCCCCTCGTGTCTCTGCGTAAGGAGCTTCACCTACGACCACAATTGTGTATGCTGCGTCGGCGTGAAGCTTCGACGTGTCCTTGTTTGGTTCCTCCACGTAGACGACTTCAGTGGTGTGATCCACTGTTTTCATGATGGCGTCCAAGATTGTAGTTCCTATAAATGATACGAAACAACATTTTTTTGAATAATTATCCATGCATGTATTATAATGCATGTGTGAACATATAAGTATTATAAATATCTTTGGACATTTTAATTTGTATTACCTCTGGTTTTACCGGTAGGGAGATGCATGGCTTTGTTACGGCCAATGTCTTCTCCAGTTCCATTGAATCCTTGCCAAGTGAGAGTAAAGCCACCACATTGCCAACCCATGTTGTTAGCGTGTGCGCCCACAACAACGATCTTTTTCACATTCTTCTGTAGAGGAACAACTTTATCTACGTTTGTTTTCCCGTTCTTTAGAAGTACCATTGATTTCCTCACCGCCTCTCTGGCTACTTCTCTATGCGCCTACAACGTTGTGTTAAGAATCCCACATCAGTTATGTATAATTAGAGCTAACTAGCTAGTACTTATGGCATAATAGTTTTGTGGTAATTAATTATATCCACATGGTCTGATATGAAATGGTGACTAATATTAGTTTTTATTTCACATGGTCTATATATCATAGACATATACTTGTTCATAACTCTTTGAATGTTTAATTAAATTAATATTTTTATACTTTTTGGTATGTATCTAATACAAAATCTTGACACATCATCAGAAAGTAGAACTGAATTTACCTCAGATCCAAAATCCGCGGCAAGAGTTTCCTCTGCCAATGGATTCTCAAAGAGACCGATAGAGAATTTGACTCTCAAGACTCTTCGAACAGCATCATCTATACGGCTCATAGGAATGTATCCACCGTTCACTAGTTTTGTCAATCCCTCCAAGAACTCTTCATATTCAAATGGAACCATAACCTACACATTTCAAAATCCCTCAAGTCAGAGCCTAAACAAATGTATAGCCTATGAAGAACCTCTTTCTTGATTCTTGAAAGTGAAGAAAAGAAAGAAGAGGCTAACCATGTCAATGCCGGCATTAATAGAGGCTTCGATAGAGTGAGTGTAGTTTGCTTTGGGTGGAGTTGTGATCCTATCGATTCCAAGCCAGTCAGAGATAACAAAGCCTTGGAATTTGAGTGTGTTCTTGAGGTAATCAGTGATCATTGCGCGGTTTGCATGCATCTTAACACCGTTGAGACTAGAATAAGAAGCCATGATTGATGCGATCCCTTTCTTTACGGCTATCTCAAAAGGAGGCATATGGATACCAAAAAGAGTAGCTTTATCAGCCACAGTGTTATTCTCATTGATTCCAGTACCTACCGTTCCTCCATCCCCAACAAAATGTTTGGCGCAACCAGCCACTTTAGTCCTGATTGCGTAGACACACATTTTCACATTAGTTAACTAATAATTAATATACATTAAACAAAGGTTCAAAACTAATTATTAGCATTAGTTCTTGGTTAACTTACTTGAAATCAGCGACGTAAGAAGCATTTCCCTGTAATCCATCCATGATACTTTCGGTCATCATATTCACAACTTTAGGATCTTCACTATAGCTCTCATAACACCTTCCCCATCTAGGATCTCTGCAAACCTGTTCCATCCCATTTCTTGTTAGAAAAATTCTATATATCCATTTTTTGCGTATGTCGACCAAAACTTCCAGTTTAAATTAGTTACCGCAACACAAGGCGCAAAAGCTTGAGCGATTCCTGTAGCTCTTACTTCAAGCGCAGTTATAGCTCCAATCTTTTTAACAAGATCAGGATCCCTACAACAACACGGATAAAATAACAAATCAAACTATTAAACGCCACTTTTTCAGCTATTGTATACGTGTATGATTTAAATAAAAGAATATGTACCTAGTGGCACCAAGACCAACGTTGTGGGGGAAGATGGTGGCATTGATAAAAGTGTTGTGGCCATGAACAGCATCAATAGCGTAAAGCAAAGGGATTCCAAGCCTCGTAGAAAGACTCAATTTCTGCATGGTGTTTGCTACGGCGACACGCTTTGATGGACTAGCCCCAGTATCATGCGGATTGCTCAAAATGCTTCCTATACTCGTTCACCAATTCAGTTATAAATGAATTTTATCAAAACATTTTATTTGGAATTTTGATTTATAATCAATAGTTTTTTTTTTTTTTTTTTTGTAACATACCGATCATGTACTTTGTGAAGATTTCTGGGCCCTTAGTCGTGGGAAAAAATGAGTAGTTGAACCGATCAACTTGACACATTTGACCAAGTTTCTCCGGTAATGTCATTCGTGATAGCAAATCCTCTACACGCTCCTCAACCGCCGCTTTTGGATCTTTGTACTTAATGTAACCTCTGGTGGCTGCGGTGGCGCCTCCATAATGACCGGAGAACAATATCACAATCGCCGCCAACAAGAAAAAGCTCCTGACGCCGTAAACTGTCGCCGCCATCCCTTAATCAGAGTGAATTCAGAATATTAATACTTCTGAAATATATAGTTGTGATATACTTTTAAATCCTGAAATGAAAGTAAACATGGACATATCAATTTATAGTAACTTTTTTTTTCTCTATAAAACAGGCCGTTAATTAATCCTAAACAGAAAATTAGTTACCGTCTGTTAATACTGTTATTTGTTGGCGCTCTGGTTTTGATGTGGACGGATACATAACATGAGCTTAATGTTTAAAATGAAACCAAACCATCGATTTCTGTTTAATCTCCCCATGAATGGCTTACCGTTTTCTGTTAGCGAAAACAAAATAACTGTACGTAATTTTAACGGTTCAACTAGGTTCAGACAAGGAAAGCGAATATCTCAATAGTTTTGTTGTCAGACTTACTGATCCCACACAAAGTTTACGCGTTCATGGTAGGCATTCATGTTCAGTCTGATATTTCACAGAGTTTCTAATAATTTATATCTATTACTAGAATTGTTTACTTCTTTAATTCTATAAAGTATCAGGCTCAATCTTGGTCAAAAAGTGAGTGGAATTAGACCAAGGGGAATCTCCATAGAAACAGGTCTCCCTATGTTTTCTTTTACATGAAGTTGTATGATTTTCACATAGATTAAGGCACCTACAACATCTTTTCTACCTTTCTCCATCAAATTCGTTATCTTACGAGGGATACGTTGAGTAGAGTTATTCCACTCTGAAACTTGAGTTTGTTGACTAGAAAGAATGTTTGGATCCTCAATGGTACAACTGATGTTTGGATCCTCAAGATATTTACTAAGCTGCAAAGCCACTTCTCAGGTTCGTTGTATATAACTAAGATTTCTGGTTCGGTTTACATCCTGATTTGGTCTGAGTTTTTCTTTTAAATGAAGACACTCATCAGTGAGTTTGCAAATGCTACCGACTGGAAAATAACAAAACACAAATATTAATAACAACTCGCACATGGTCACAGATGCCTCCCTGAAATTTTAATATAATAAATTATATATATTGCTCAAATAAGCAAAAGCGCATCTGGTGTAGTGGTATCATAGTACCCTCCCACGGTACTGACCAGGGTTCGATTCCCTGGATGCGCACTTTTTCTCTACTTTCTTTTTATTTTTGACGCAATATTTAGCATATCTTTGAAGCAACGAAGCATTTTTGTTAAAGATATATACGAATCACTTTTGGTTAAAAATCAAAGGTTTTACAAAATATACAAACCGTTAGTGTAATTATCATACACACAAACTATATACATTAACAACATATGGTTGGCACCAAATCTCACCACTTTAAGTAGGCAGAGATAGACAAGGAAGGAACTAAAGAGAATAGATTGCATCTAGAAAACAGAAGGCGGTTTTAGACCGTTGTGATACTCAAGCTGCGACATTTCTCCTCCGGGATCAAACTGGCATCTGTAGAAGCTGTTATACACAACAAAGAACATAAGGTTAAATCAGATTAGCAATAAGAGTTCAAGTTCTTATATAACTCAATTCAAGTTTTTCCAATGGAATGGCATATATCAGCACATTATATCTTTTGCTTGTTTCAATTTTTTTTTTTTTGGACAACATGTTTCAGTTCTTTTACAGTTATATAACTGACAATAATACAAGGTTTTTTTTTTCTTCCAATTCATATATATAATATATATATATATATATATATATACAGCTAAGAATACTTATAACACTACGAAATTGTGTAAGTCCATATTACAAATGTATATTTTATTTTCTTACACAAACTGAATGTTTTATTCATCTTAGTTTTATTTAGTTAAACACAGCTTGGCATTAGATGTGTTATATTCGAAGGTAATCACTCACCACATATTCACAGGCCAGTTAGCCTCAGCTAAGGTACGTGTATTCCCTTTGTTACAATAAATAAACTATTACCATGAGAGGAGTCTGTGTTTGATGAAGAACAGCCAAAGGGTATATTACAACTCAGCCAAAAGGTAAAAACAGAGAAGGAAAAAAGGACAGAAACATTCAATGCAGAAGCAAACTACTGTAAGCAATCAAAAGGAGTTTCTTGACACACAACATACAGAGAATCTTGACGAGCCATTCCTTTATTCTTCTTCTCGGCTGTGAAAGATGCAAACATGGCGGAGTAGTGATGATAAAATTCCGGACTAGTGATGAGTAGCATCACCACCGGTTTCTTGGCCTTTCCTAGAAGCTGCTCTTAGTTTACGTTGTTCCTCTTTATATATCCTGTTTCTTCTTTGGAACTACATACAAATTAAAACAAATGCCACCTCTCTTCGTCAGTCTCATCTGACATAAGCTTATTTACGAAGCAAAGAACAAATAATCTTGTACTACTGAACATAAATTAAAATAGCTTAACACTCTCTTAAAGTTTCTCCCATGAGCCTATATATACATCTTGACATTCATTCCATTTTTTATATGTTTTCAATAAAAAAAAGAACACGTGCTTAAATTTTCATCTTGACAATTGATTCCATATGAAGAGACAAAACAGGAGATGAAAGGCAAGAGCCAATGAAAGGGATGTACATAAATAAAAGCTCTAGGAGTGACCAATAGTATGAATATGAAAACATCCGCCATTATACTTTTCATTACATCTTAGTATCATCAAACCATGAAAAATCCTAGCCAAAAAAAGCTTTATCATATCATTACAAATACATACACCGAATAAGAATTTTTAAAATTGCTTGAACTGATCTGGATTAAGAGTGATCTAGGGGTTTCGAAGAGGGCTGGGCGAATAATCAAATCAGTGAAAACGGATCTAAGCAGTCGAGGCGTGAATTGGTGATTTACAAATCAGAAACAAACGAAGAATCTGAGAGAGAAAGCTAAGGGGTTACCTCTTTGGAATGGTGAAGACATTCGAGGTAGTCTTCACGAAGAAGAGAACAATCCTTAGGCTCTCTGCAATGAGACATACACTCACTGAAATCCATCCAAAAATCGTAACATCTCCCTTTGTTTCCCGTTATTCCCCAACCCGACGCCATTTGATGAAACTGGAGGTAGATTATACGTCGTCTCTCTTCAATGGAGAAGACTTGTTCACCTAATTTGATTTCCTACGATCCGGAACGGTTCGGGTTTTATCCTATAACAACCCGGATTATCCTTTAAAAGGCCTTAAGATGCTAGTGTAAACATCGACACTCAATGGGCCCAGTGAAACCCAAGATATTGGGCCTAGTCAATCATCCTATAAACCCATGTATTGGGGTCAGTACTATATTTGTTCTTTTTTTTTTGTTTTTTTTTTCATTGTTGTCATTTTTATTTAACCTTCTTAAAGCTTTGGAGCCACCTAACGAGTAAGAGCATCCTCAACCGTGAGAATCATATAAGTTCTTAAGAAAGAGGGTATTTCGGATTTGATAAGGATATTTCAGATTTTTTTTTAGAAAAAAGAAAAGAAAAAAGAAAAGAAAAAGATGACCATTATGGCATCATTATTGCACGTATATAGAGTGGTCCTTATGTGTTTTTGCCAAAAAATTAAATCAAAACTAAATAAAAAGGAAGCAAACGTATGTTAACAAGAAGTGTGAACTCGCGTCCTTAAGGACACGCGTCATCGTGTGAGGAGAAACACGGTTTAGGGTTGGGAAGACGAGTTGTCGTCTCGAATTCATTCTCATCCTCTCCCTTCTCTCTCGACGGCGATTTCTGCGCGAATCAAACACCCCTCTCGCCGCCGATATCTCTGTCCATCTCTCCGGTTATCTCTCCCCCGATCCCTCTATCCCCCAATCCATCTCTTTGCCTCTGTCTCCCCCGATCTCTCCCCCCCCGATCTCGCTCTCCCCTCGGTCTCTCTCCCCCCGATCTCTCCCCCCCCCGCGAGTTCTCTTTTCCCCGACCTCTCTGTCCCCTGAGCTCTCTCTCTCCGATAGCTCTCTCTCCCCGATAGCTCTCTCTGCATGTCCATGATAGCTCTCTATCTCCGATAACTCTCTCTCTCCGATAGCTCTCTCTCCCCCGATAGCTCTCTCTCCGACGACCTCTCTGATCACGTATCTCTCTCCGACGACCTCTCTGATCGCGTATCTCTCTCCGACGACCTCTCTGATCGCGTATCTCTCCGCCGATCTCACTCTTAGCCGAATTGTTTCTCTGCCAATATAAACAAGGTAACACTCAATCCTTTGTCCGTCATTGTTGGTGATTGAATGGTCTTTTTGTGATTGTATTGTCGTTGTTTGTGATTGAAAAATTATAGTTTAGTTTTGTAACTTGTTGATGAGTTGAACTCTGAAATAGTTTTCTAACTTGATGATTATAACTTAGGCCTCAATGTTGATTTTAAATCGTACTTGATGTTTGTGTGTTCTTTTGATTCGTACTAGATGGGGTTCTTTTAGCCTGGCGAGTACTTGATGTTTGTGTGTTGTTATTGCATTTTAACTCGTACTTGAAGTTTGATGCTCCTGGTTCGTTTCTTCTGTGTGAATGTATTTGAAACGCATACCATTAAGTGATTAAAAATAATACTGAGAAGTTAAGTTAAGTTCTTCACATGACTCATACGCTATCTATGTGGACATAGGAAAGAATGCATTAACTGTGTAACCTACTCCCTGAAATGAAATTGATAACTGTGATATGAGTTTAGTTTGTACTCAACCAAATGTGAATCTTAAGGAGTTAGTTTGATTACTGTGAGAGGAGGTTATTTGTGTCTTGTTGATAATGTTGATTGCATTTCAGTTTGATTGAAACCAAAATTCACTATTCTATTTTAGTTTGATTGTTAGTTCCAGCTGGTAGCTTTTAAGTTGTGTACTTTTGTAGTAACTACTGATTAGACAACGGTAGGTTATGGTTGAGCATTAAGACTTCAAATTATTACACTAACCACTTTCTCCTATTTGACCTCAACCATCCTACAGCTTGTTACTCACCACTCGCCTTACCTAAAACGAGAAACCAATATTTATTTTCTTCTTTAATCCCTTCTCTGTTCTAATCGCTATGGATTCAAGGAATCCATATACCCAATCATCTAGTTATCTAGGTCTTCTTAACAGTCAACAACCTAATGTTGTCCATGAAAACTTTCCTTATGGAAGTTTTCAATCTGGTACTGTTAATTTCGGAGCTCCACCTCCACCTGAAGTCCCTAACTTCGGAGCTCCACCTCCTCCTGAAGTCCCTAACTTTGGAGCCCCACCTCAACCTGAAGTCCCACCACCGGAGCGTAGGGAGAGAAAGAAATGGACCCCAGCAGATGACGAGCTTTTAATCAGTGCATGGCTAAACACATCTAAGGATGCTGTTGTTGCAAATGTTCAAAATGCACGGACCTTCTGGAAAAGAGTTGGAGAATATTTTGAGCTGCATGCTACAGAGGGTGAAAAGAGGGAGCATCTCCATTGTAAGCAGAGGTGGCACAAAATAAATGAGGTTGTTAACAAGTTATGTGCCGCATTTGCTTCGGCAAAAAGACAACAAGGCAATGGCAACAGTGACACTGATGTTCTGAAGCTGGCTCACGAGATCTACTACAAAGATCAGAAGACGAGGTTTTCTCTTGAGCATGCATGGTGTGTGTTGAGGTTTGAGCAGAAATGGCTCAGCCTCAACACTCCTAAACCCAGTGGAAGTTCGAAGAGAAAAGTGGGTGACGCAGGTTCCCAAGCGTCAAGCTCTGAAGTCGGTGATCTTGAGAGCCGGCCTGAAGGTGCTAAGGCTGCAAAAGCAAGAAGGAGTCAGTCTAAAGGGATGGCCATTGAGGAGGTTAAGACAATTTGGGAATTCAAAAAGGAGGATTTAGTGATGAGACACTATCGAAGTTGGCTATACTAGACACTCTTCTTGCTAAAGAAGAGTTAACTGAGGCTGAAGAAGCAGTGAAGAATAAGCTGCTTGAGAAGTATTTTTAAAAATGATGGTTGTTGGTCTGGTTTGTTAAGTCTGTGGTTTAATGATCGCCATGTTTTAATGTTTTATGTTTTAATGTTTTATCGGTTGCTTCTTGTAATGTTTCATGTAATGTGTTGTACTGCTTCATGTAATGCTTTCTACGGCTATTAATGTACTCTATGTTTGCTTCAATGAAATGTACTCTCTGTTTGCTTCAATGAAATGTATTCTCTGTTTGGTTTACTGACTATCTGTTTGGTTTAATGACTATGTGTTTAAAAACCTTTATTACATTATTGTAACTTATCTAATGTTTGTCTCATAAATATATTTACAGGTTAAGTGTTACACATGGGACTCGATTATAGTTACAGCCAGCCATCTGTATCAGAGGACTATGGTCAGAACACAAACACTGGCTACAGCGAGACGGAAGACCTGATTCGTCGGGACCAAGCAGAGATAAGTTACAATAATGCTGCGCATGTTTACTATCCTCCTCAACCTGAGGTTGAGTTTGGATTCCCCCAGAGTTGCTACTGTGGTGCTCAACTTATCATAGCAACATCTTACACACAGAACAACCCAGGAAGAAGATACTACACGTGTGGGAATGTTGATGATGGAGAATGCCATGTGTGGAAGTGGTGGGATGTGGCAGTTATGGAGGAGATGAGAGCCAGGGATTCACACATACTTCAACTGGCTGACAAGGTAGTCTATCTAAACTATTTAACTGACAATGAGACGGATCAGAAGGTGCTTAATCTCGAGAAGATGGTGTGTGAGTTACTTAAAAAGAAATAACGGTTCACATTTGGCTTTGAAGTGGTTGTTTGTGTACTGGTGTTGTGTTTAGTTTTAATAGGTATTGTGGTGATGTATAAGTAAATCAGCTTGTAATTTATGTTGTACTGCTTTAGTAGTTGGATGGTTTAGGTTTAAACGAATGTTTCTTTAAGGTATTGTGGTTGGTGTACCCGTGATCGGATGCTTTTATGTATAATTGAATGTTTTTTTAATGGTTGGTGTATCCGTGATCAGATATGTGTAAAAGTAACTTGCTCGTGACAATTTTGGGACTTAAAGTACCAGTGTCACAGGAAGCACAAGTCACTCGTGACAAATAAAGTCACAACTTGATGTTTGATTCTTACATAAAACCACAAGTTGTTGTCACGGGAGTTACCTACAAAAATATCAGAACCTCCACTATACTCTCACTTCCTAACTCTATAAATATGAATGCTTTTCTCTCATCACTCAAACACTCCCATCTCCCACTCCCACTTCATACAAACACTCCCATATCTCTACTCCCACTTCTTAACTCGCTTTTTCTTGTTTCATTTTAATGGCATCTTCATCTCATTATCATTATCACAAAGATGATGATGATAGTTTAGAAGGTCCATTTGAAGAAATTTTTGAAAAATATGCAACTATTCCAGAGCCAAAAGAGCGCAAGAAACGGATCTTTATCGAGAGAAACCGGGAACAAGGCCACACCAAACTCTGGAATGATTATTTTACTGATACTCCGATATATTCCCACGATTTATTCCGGCGACGGTTCCGAATGAACAAGCATTTATTCATGCGTATTGTGCATCGTCTCTCTACAGAAGTGGACTATTTTCAACCAAAACAAGATGCACTCGGACGGGCTGGACTATCTCCCCTCCAAAAATGCAGTGCAGCAATTCGTCAATTAGCTTATGGTGGTGGAGCTGATGCAGTTGATGAATATGTTTGACTTGCTGAAACAACGGCACGACAATGTCTACACCATTTCACGGCCGCAATAATCGACTTGTTTGGCGATGAATACCTAAGACGTCCCACACCGGAGGATCTTCAGAGACTACTCTATGTCCGAGAACAATGTGGATTCCCCGGAATGATTGGAAGCATCGACTGTATGCATTGGGAATGGAAGAATTGCCCCACAGCTTGGAAAGGAATGTATTCACGAGGAACCGAGAACCAACAATTGTCTTGGAGGCGGTTGCTTCATATGACCTATTAATATGACATGCTTTTTTTGGAGCTCCAGGTACTATGAACGATCTAAATATTGTCGATCGATCACATGTTTTTGATGACATTATTAACGGAGTAGCTCCGCAAGTAAATTTCTATGTCAACGGAAGGG